TAGATCCATCTTGAAATACTATTGAGAGTGACAAGATAATAAATATCTATACACATGCAAGGAGGACCTATTAATACCACTATCATTCAAATTTATGCACCAACAACCAGAGCCAAAGAGAAGGAAAGAGATGATTTCTATCAACTGTTGCAGTCAGAAATCAATCAAACATGTAACCAAGATGCATTAATAATGATGGGTGACTGGAATGCAAAAGTTGGGAACCAGGAGGAAGGATCAGTAGTTAGAAAATATGGATTTGGTGACAGAAATTAGGCTTGGAATAGAATGATAGAATTCTGCATAATCATTTATTTATAACAAATACCTTTTATAAGAAACATAAAATGCAGGCTATACACATGAAGAATCAGATCAATTACATTTGTGAAAGGAATCACTGGAGAAGTTCAGTATCCGCAGTGAAAACTACTCATATGTAAGTTCAAATTAAAGCTAAAGAAGGCTAAATCATATCCACAGGAATTAAATTTGATCTTGAGTCTATCCCCCATGAATTTAAAAACCAAATCAGGAAAAGGTTTGAGGCCTTGAACACTAATGCATGAAAATCAAATGAGCTGTGGGAAGATACCAAGAATGTTGTCCATGAAGAACACAAAAGATCATTACAAAGAAGGAAGAAAAAGAAAAGACTAAAAATGGATGTCAGAGAGACTCTAAATATTTCAATAGAGTGCTGAGAAGGCAAAGCAAAGAGAAGAAATCAAGAAGTGAAGGAGGTGAATAGAAGATTTCCAAGGACAGCTTGGGAAGACAAGGCAAAGTATTATAATGAAATGTGCAAGGAGTTGGTGTCAGAAAATTAGAAGGGCCGAACTCACTCAGCATTTCTTAACCTGAAGCAACTAAAGAACAAATTCAAGCCTTGAGCTGCAATGCTTAAGGACGATATGGGCAGAATATTGAATGATTCAGGAAGCATTGAAAGCAGATGGAAGGAGTATACAGTCACAGTACCAAAAAGAAGTGGCTGACACAGAAGACTTTCAAGAAACAACATATGATCTAGTGATAATGGTGATGAAGGAGGAAGTTCGGCTGTGCTAAAGGACTTGGCAAAAAAATAAAGCACCAGGAATTGGAGGAATAACAATTGACGTATTTCAACAAACACATGCTGCCCTGGGATGTGCTGCTCACCAAGTTGTACCAAGAAATCTGGAGAACAACTACTTGGCCAACTGACTGGAAGAGATCCATATTTATTCCCATTCCCAAAAAAGATGACCCGACAGAGTGTGGAAGTTACTGAACAGTATCATTAATATCATCACACGCTAGCAAAATTGTGCTGAAGATTATCCAGAAACGACTGGAATGGTTTGACAGAGAACTACCATATAAGCAGGGCTCAGAAGAGGCCATAGCACTACAGATAATACTGCCAATATTAAAATGATCTTGGCAGAAAGGAAAGAGTACCAGAGGAATGTCTCATTGACTATGCAAAGGCACTGACTGTGTGGATCACAACAAATTATGGCTAAACTTGAGGAAAATGAGAATCCCAGAACACTTGGTTGTGCTTATGCAAAACACATACTTGGGCCAAGAAGCAATACTCAGAACAGAGCAAGGAAACACTGCATGGTTCAAAATCAGGAAAGTAGCGCAGCAGGGATGAATCCTGTCGCCGTATCTTTTTAATCTGTATGCAGAACAGATCATCTGGGCAGCAGGGCTTTATGAGGAGGAATGTGGCCTCAGGATTGGAGGAATACTCAACAACCTATGATATTCAGATGCTGAAGACCTGCATTTGCTGCAAAAGGTCAAGGACTGTAATCTTCAATATGGATCGAAGCTCAACACCAAGAAGCAAAGATTCTCACCACTGCACCAAATGGCAGTACCATGATAAATGGAGAAGACACTGAGGTTATTAACAATTACAGGTTGCTCGGCTCCACAATGAACACTCTCGGCACCAGTAGTCAGGCAATCAAAAGATTAATTACATTGGGAAAATCTGCTGCCAGGGACTCTCCAGAGTGCTTAAAAGCAGTGATGTCAGTCTAGGGAATAAAGTGTGCCTAATTCAGGCCATGGTCTTCTCAATTACTTGTTATGCATCAGAGAGATGGACAATGACTAAGGATGACAGAAGAAGAATAGATGCCTTTGAACTGTGGTCGTGGTGAAGAGTCTTGAACATTCAATGGGACACCAAGAAAACAAGTAAGTCTGTCTTGGAGAGAATGAAACCAAGTTTCTCCTTGGAGGCTAGGACTATGAAGCTTTGTTTCATATACTTTGGGCATGTGGCCAGGAGAGACTGGTTCTTGGAGAAGGATATCATACTCCAAAGGGTGGATGGACAGCGCAGGAGAGGAAGATCCCGGATTAGATGAATTGATATAGTGCTTGGGGCAATGGGGGTTGGTGTGTTGGAATTATTGAGACTGGCTCAGAACAGGGCAGGGTTCAGAGCTGCTGCTATGGACTGCAAGAAACTCGAAGGTACATAACAACAAGAAGTTTGTACAGCTCAACTCGAATAACTGCATCACAATTTTTAGAATATTAACTTGCTCAATACATTGGGAAAGATATTACAGTTTTACAAATTCAAAATGTAGAGGAAACTATCGATAAATTTTTGGTTTGCAAAATGTTAAATAGTACAGACAATAAAGAGAGTGAAAGAGTTTATTTTTAACTTTCATCCAAACACACCCTTTTTCTGATAAAACAAAAGCATGCACATTGATGGCATTCATAAAAAGAAAAATTAAGTAATAACTAAACTGAAAATAAACAATAATAAAAACAGAAGCTTAAATGATACATGAAGAAGATTTACAAGAAAGCATAAGATTCTTAATTATTAGAAAATAATAAATCAATGCAATAAAATATCAATGCATGTTAAGAAAAAGCTGCTAATTTCTCAAGCATCTGGATACAAAACAACTTTTTAAACATATCTTTCAGAGATTTTTTTGTGAGAAGAATATTAGAAGACATACAAGGTGATCTTAAGCAGGTCACTTTGCCTACTTAATCAGTTATCATCCAAATAATTCTAAGGGCATTCCTTCTTAAAATTTATGTTGAGAGCACACTCATAATGTTTAACATGTTGCCGCATATTTTTTAAATTGACAACCGTGCTTAGAAACACATTTGCCATCATTTGTGGCAACGTGATAAAAGAAGTTATATGTATTAGATTTATTTTGATCTAGTTAAAAATAGGTTCTAATTTCAAAATGGTTCAAAATCATATTTAACAACAGCATTGTATTTTCTAAATTTCACTTCAAAATTTGCACGACAGTACTTTTTAAGTTTCATCTATGTTCCCACTTATAACCAGACCAATAGGATCCTGTGAAAATGTGTCCACACAAACATGTATACATACTTAGCACAGTCTACATATACAACCAATTCAAACCACCCAAATCGTCAAGGGTGTTACTTGGAATAGCTTTGTTTCTGATTTCAAGAAGAAATATAACACAGACAAAACTTCCCCTTTTTATTTTGTTTATCAGCATTCACATGGTGGTTTTGTCTCTGTTAGCGACACAATTTTGCAACAAAAGTTCATTAGCAGTCAGCAGAAATTGTCAAAGGAATCAAAAACAAGTTTAAACTATAAAATAGAGCAAATCACATTTTAAAATGACTCTTCTTTCTGTTCCATGATAGAAAGTTGTGTGATTTGGTTCCTGAAAAGTAGCTCTCATTTAGAGGTGATGTCTATTAATCATGTAGCGCCATTAAAAGGAGTGAAATGAAGTTGCCCAGTCCTGTTGTATTAAATTTGTGTTTCACTGGCTTGAGGAAGGTGGATTTCTTGACTTGAAGCAAATGTAAAACGCCTTTTCAATAGCTGGTGAAACGTTCTTGAAAGAGTTTAAAGAGCCTGACTTTAAAACAGGACAAATACTGATTATGATTTTCTTCAAAGCAAGTCTAGTATGCAAGCTACTGAACAGCACCAATGACTTTAATGCAAATGAAAAAGGGTAGAATACAGTGGAAGTCTATCATGATTAACATTAAAAATTATTTTTGGATTCAATATTTTGCTAAAAGAATTAAAGGCACATGCTAGTAAATCTAGTTAGAACGTGTAAAGGCTCCTAGTACTTCAATTATCTCTGGATTCAGAATCCAATAAAAGTTCATACTGATTATTTTAATGTAAAAAAATAAGAGGAAATCTTAATATTCTCAAATACTTATGGCACAGATGTTGCAAAGTACTTATAGTTTAACTAAAATCTTTAAAAGCTGGGCAATTTAAAGTTCTGCTATATGGAATCAAGAGTCATAATTTTATCTTAATTCTCATATTTTATACATTCTTTTGTGTTGAATACAAGGTGCACAAATTAATCCTCTTCAATAAATATTAGAAATGTTAATTATTTTGCAATATAAAAGTGATGTTAACCATAGAATACAATAAAAATATGTGCTAAACTCAGCTGCTTCCCCACGAACTTTACTGTTTCCCTTGAACATCTTGAGATTTAAATACAATTCTTTGATTGACTAAGAGAAATTAAGCATAAAGAAAAATATTATATAGATGGAAAATAATGGACACTTCTGTGATAAAAGTTTGGGACTAGTCAAGTTATAAAAAAATGCAATAACAAATATATATGAAATACATTGTAAAATAAATGTTCATAAACTTAGCCAGCTGAATTACAAAGCAGTAACAAATTATGCAGTCCCAATAATCTGCAATGGACATTAGTTCACGGGAAATGCAAAGTACAGAATAAATTTCATTTAGCATTTACCCTCCCAGCAACTTTAGTACTAAAGTTTAAAAGGATTTATCTTTGTCAAGATCAACTGCATATTAGTTTTAGTCAGAAATTCTATTTTATCCAATGTTCAGTCAACAAAGTTTTATTTACACTTACTAAATTCAGGAGACAAGGTGATGCAATGTGCAGTTGCCAATAACAGTTTTTTGCACATTCCATTGACTGGAGAAAGCTACTTCTTTACGCTTTAATACTAACCCACAAGCAGCCAATTAAGGTTCCATAAATCCATGTTTTCACATACAGTTTCCTTCCAGTATCTGTCATAAGCATACTAGCAGTCAAACCACTTAAGATCAGTAATGATGGGAAAGTCTTCTTAAGACTTAGTTTGGAAGTAACACTTTTCCCAGGAAATCGATTTCTTCTTTCTGGATCCAGTGAATCATAGAATTCTATAAGCAACCTAGGACCAAAACAAAGTGTAGTTTCAGTGCTATCAATTTCAATATTCAATTCATTAAGTATCTTATTGGTTGCCTACTCTGTCCGGGGGAAGTTATAGGTTCTTGGAAATTAAGGATGAATAAGGAAACATTCAAAGAGTTGGTGTAAAAGGAGTTTCCAGAAACATCTTTAATGCTCTAAAACTGGTAACCACATAGGAAATTGTGTGATGTGATTAAAGCCAAATGGTTTTAAGCATTTTTATGAGGAAAATTTTTAGGTCTGAAATTTCAGGTTTGTAAATTTTTGCAATGACCAAACTCATTTCCCTCATTCTAATTTCTCCTTTCCACAGCTTCCCTTCACAATCAAAAGAAAAGATGGACAATCTTTATAATATACACAGGGTTCTCAAAAAGCTCTTACTCGCATGGAACTGTAAATGCAAGTAAAAGAAAAAAGAAGTCACACTTAACTTACTTTAACATCTTATCAAAACCCCCATGAAATTATAATAGCAGAACATACTTAAGAAATAAATCTAAAACATCAAAGTACAGAAAAGGAAAGCTTCTGTACTGTCTTGTAAATCATATTCCCTAGATATATCACTGTTTAAAAATGCCATGATTCATCCTTAAGACATAAGTATACTTATATATTCTCTCTCTTCATATATTTATATACACATACACACATATATACACATATATATCAGATAGCTATAGATATAATAATCTGAATATTAAACACATTGTATAATCTTTTTATTAAGGATATGTTTTCATGTCAATACATAATAACTCTTACTTCTAAAATTTCTTCCACTACCAAAAGGGTCCAGAAAGGCTGGTAAATAAATTGTGCATAAATGAGAATAAATGAAACATTCAAATTAAGAATGAAGTTTATTTCATTTTTAACTGATTACACTTTCAAGAATTTGAAAGTGAAAGTTAACTAAAAAGATTTAATAAGAAAATACTGGGGGTTGGAGGGAAACTAAGAAAAGAGAGGATAAATAATGAACACTGCATTGGAACAGATGAAGGAGAGAATTGTTTAAAAGGAATATATGAGTAAGCATTTTCTGTATGACAACAGTCCAGAATAAAAGATGTATAGCAAAGTGGACTGAGGGACCGGTAAAGGGGAAGGGAGGAAATGATGTAACAATAAATGAATATTTTTTTAAAAGTGAATGAGGTGAAGGTGTAGGGAGGAAAAAGTGCAACAATGAATGAATGAAAACCCAACTTTTCTGTACACTTTGGTTAAAATAACAATAAAAAATACTCTACTGTAATAAAATATGAAAAGGAAGAACAATGTTTGCTTTCTGAAAGGAATCACATTAGGAGAACAGAGTATTTGACTATTTGACTATATTTTCTCAATATAATTAGAACTTTGGAAGCAGGAGTGGCATGCACTTCCCAAATAGTTTGTCTCTGGAAACTCTATGAATGTGGAGAAATGATGAAAGTCATACAAGTGTTGTTCAGGTCTTTCGTTCATAGGGTCACTATGAGTTGACTATGACTCAATGGCACTTAACAAAAACTATAAAAATACATCTTAAGATGGCTTTAATAAATGGTGTATCTTTTAATCAATATTTTAAAAAGAGGATCAAAATGATAGAAGCATAAAACATTAAAAAGTATCAAACAGGATAAAATTTTCATAGAAAGCAAAACAAAAAAGTATATATAATATACACTAACATTTGATCCGAGAACATATTCTCATTTATTAAAATTCAATTTCTAAATATAACTAGCCCTGACAGTAGGGCTGGTGGCCTACAGGTAAGGACCTGTACTGACAACCCAAAGGCATGTGATTCAAATCTACTAGCAGCTCCACAGGAGAAAGACAGACAATCTCCTCTCCTGTAATTTACAGCCTCTGAAAGCTAGACAGTAAACTAAGAGTTGGTTCTGAACCGATGGCGCATAATCAGAAAAACAACAAAAAATCTAAAAATTCCATTTTGACTTGTATTTAATCAAAGAAATATTAATATACTATATAGCGATACAATGGCTCAGGTGGACTTGTGGTAAGTAGTTGCAGTATAATCTGGAAGCCTTACAAATGCACCAGCTGCTCCACGGGAGAACGATGCGCAATCTCCTGCCTCTGAAAACCTGCTGGAGGCTCAGCTATAGGTTGGTTCCAACTTGAAAGTACACAAGAACAACAACGATAACATTTTAAGTAAGAGGCATATCATAATCAGCTGCTTGAACATGAATAATACTGTCTGATGCTGTTTCACTAACATGGAGTTAGAACCAACTCACAGCTGATCTTCCAGTAGATTTTTGGAAGGTATAAATTTCAACAGCAAAGAATGCCTATCTTTTCCCCATAGAAGCCCTCTGGTAGATTCGAACCACCAAAGAGGTGACACCTTTGGGTTAGCAGCACAACTTCTTACTGACTACACCACCAGAACGTCCTAAATATAACCTCAATTTATTGACAGGTAACTTTTAGATCCAAAACCATGCTACTAAAATAGTATTATTAGTATGGACAAATACAAGGTCAGTTAAAAAAACCATTTAGACTCAAAAAACACTAATAAAAACTATTACTGAATGGAGATATTCAATTGCCCTTTTCTCTTCCAAAAAATATAGCAGAACTATACAAGGGGCACAATCATCTATTCACAGAGCCTGATTCTCCAAAGGCAGGCAGTTCAAATTCTAGCTGTTCCATAGAAGAAGATAGGCAATTTTTTCCCATATAATTTTTAGCTTCTGAAAACCAAGAGGCATTTTCAGTTATGAGTTAGTTCCGATTCAATGGCACACAACAACTGGCAGCGTATTTCATTGTGAGTTGTGCTGCAATCCCAAAGACATACCCAAAGGCTCAAATTCTACAGCTGCTCTGTGAGAGGAGGATGGGTAACCTCCTCCTATGCAACTTAACAGTCTCTAAAAACCAGCTGGAAGGTCAGTTGGAAGTAGGTTCTGACTCGATGGTAATGACATTTTATTTTCAGCATTATAGATAGCCTTTAGGAAATAATACCGTATTTTTTTTTTCTTTCAAAGTCAGCTTTAGGGCATCTTAAAATGAAAAGCCTGTTTTACTTTTATACATAGTACACAGGATAGAAGGAGAATTGATGCCTTTGAGCTGTGGTGCTGGAGAAGAGTATTGAGAATACCATGGACTGCCAGGAAAAGAGATTTGTCCTGGGAAGGGTTAAACCGGTGGCTTCTTGGAGACAAGGATTCTGAGGCTCCGGAGCTTCTAACATACTTTGGACATGTTGTGAGGAGAGACTGGTCCTTAGAGAGGGACATCATGCTTGGGAGGGTGGAGGGACAGTGCAGGAGGGGAAGGCCCTCTGTGAGGTGGATTGATTCAGTGACTGGGATAATTGGGATGGGAGTGTCGGAGATGGTGCGAATGGCACAGGACAGAGCGGAGTTTAGGGCTGTTGTACATAGGGTCGCTATGAGCCGCAAGCAACTCGACGGCACTAACAACAACAACAACACCCAGTCTAGGAAATAACTGTAAACAAAAAAAGGTACTAAAGCTTTCATGGTGATCTGTAATAAAGTAAAGCTTAACATGAGCGGATTATGCATGGATTAAGATTTGGCTTGAGTTTAGAAATAAATGTTCTCGAGACAATAAAAGTTTTTATGATAGTTTCACATTGTTCACTCCAGTGAAATCTGGTTGATGAATATCTTTTGAAGTGCTGAGCTGTTCGTTACTCACTTATCTTTTATTTCAAAGCGTTCGTGAAGCCATCTTCTCATGTATGCTTGTTCTTCTGGCACATCTTTTTTGTCTATTCGATCAATGTGAATATGAATTTTTGGACATTCTTTGCACAGAAATTCTAAGAAGAAACAAAAACATTTCTTACTCTTTAATGCACTTGGTTATGCAGATGTACATAAATGGCATAAAAGGTCAAAATAATTAAAAAGGCACATACATTATTTTAGCTTACTCCCCCAAAATAAATTCTCAACTAGTGGTTATAGGTTTCAAGCCACCTCTACCAAAATATGTAAGTTATTAAGGTTAGCCTCCATGTTATCTTTTATAGGATGATTCTTAATTCTTTAGATATCCAGGACAAGGAGAATGCACTCAATTACAGGTGCAACCCAAACAATGTAAGGCCAAGTAAAACTCTGGAAACACAGACATAATTATACTCATTTCTAGTTTTCAATCTTTCTCTTACAGTCTTGGTTTCTAAACATTCATGTCTTTCATTTTTCATTTTTAACATTATTGTAATGAAACATTAAATAATTATAGTTCTTAAGCTATGTTGCATTTGAAAGAAGACAGTCCTTTTTTTTTGTCTAACTTGCACAAGTGATGACTATAAAACAGTAAGATTGAATCTTGAAGCTGGAAATTACTTTCTTTAGAGATAAAGTGTGAATATTGGTCTAATTAAGTTAACTGGAGAAAAAGAAAATCCTCCTAAGGTATTTAATAGAAGTCTAAGTTCTTTAGGTGGTTAGTATTCAAAGGAGCTCTGGTGACCTAGTGGTGAGAAACTGCACTACCAGCCCAGAGGCACATGGAGCAGTGGAGCCAGCTGCTCCACTGGAGAGAACTGGGGTGGTTAACTCCACTAGATGGTCAGCTACGGGTCAGTTCCAAGTAGGAGGAGGAGGAGGTTCAGACCTTTTATCTCAAATTGATAATATATTAAAAGATGTGTTCTAACAAATGAAGAGTCTTGGGTTCTACAGTATAAGAAAGATTTAGGTTCATCTTTAAATAAATATTAATTTTTTTTAAAATGTCTCCATACACCTTTTTTCCCTCTTAAAAATTTTACACAAATGTTCTTTTTTCTGGTGTCAAGTTGTAGTAACATGCAACATTTAAGTAATAAAAATATCCTCTGATTTCTTTTGGAAGTGAATTTTCTTTGATGATAAAAGATACTAACAAGATTTTTCCGTATTTTTGTCTTAATTTCTTCAAGTACTACTTTCACCTAAACCATCACATAACTGCTTGAATATATATGTTTAGAAGCAGAGTTGTACAGTGGTTAAAAGCATGGACTGGGGAGCTAGAAGTCTGAGCTTCAACACTCTGGGTTGGAAGAGTTCCTGAATGGTACAAATGGGTACTATGTGTGTAGACACTAGTTTGGAGGCACCAATCCACCCAAAGGCAACTCAAAAGAAAGGTCTGGAGACCTACTTTCCAAAAATGAGCTACTGAAAATCCTGTGGTGTACAGTTCCTCTCTACCACATGGGGTCATCACGAGATGGAACTGACTCAATGGCACTGGCCTAAGTTTTCAAGGCTGTGCAACAGTACTAATATTATATAGTTAAAAGGTTAATGTGAGGAATATGTCCAGCACTTAAAACAGTACCTCACACATTGTTGTTAGGTGCCATCGCATTGACTATGACTCACAATGACCCTATGAACAGCAAATCTGAACCATGTTCTAGCCTGTGTTGGCCTCATCATCTCTTACAACACTCGAGTCTTATGCAGCAGTCACTGTGTCAATCTATCTCATCGAGGATCTTCCTCTCTTTCACTGACCCTCCACCTTTCCAAGCACGATGTCCCTCTCCAAGGAAGAGATTCTCCTAGCAAAAAGCCCAAAGTGCATGAGATGAAGTTTTGTCACTTATGCCTCCAAGGAGCAAACTGGCTGCACTTTCTCCGAGACATACTTGTTTGTTCCTTTGCCAGTGCATGGAATGTATGCCAGGGATGCATCCTGTCTCCATACCTTTTCAACATGTATGCAGAGCAGATTATCCGAGAGGCTGGGCTCTATGAGAATTGTGGCATCAGGACTGCTGGAAGATCTATTAACAATCTGCGTTATGCAGATGACACAACC